TATCTTTGCAACCTGATAGTGTAAATCGTATTTCAAACTTTCAGACTATTTGATCTAACAAAATTCATAGTTTGAAATATAAAAAGTCTACGACATCAGGTTGCAAAGATATAGTAATGAGACATTCAGAGTTTGTGGCAACAACTCAGTTTCTTTCCCTGTTGGTAAGCATTTAAAATTAAGAAAAACTTATCTTTTGGGGACAGTTTCAGAGCCGGTGAAAAATTGTCCTATGATCAAATGAAAACTTTGGCCTTGTCGAAGATACAGGGATTCAAGGTTATAATGCAAGGAAAATTAATTGCGGTCGCGTATACTCTGCGTACATATGGAAACCAGTTCTCTCTGGGCTGAATTTGTAAACAAGAATAGATGCATGATTGTTTGTTTAGTATCCGTGGAGGATAAAAGCATTTAATTTTGATAATTTTGATAATTCACATAATAGCTTCCGTTGACCAGAATATTGTATTGATTTTTTATGTGAAAGATGGATCCCATGTCAGGCTGTGACATCCATCTTGTGTGCATATTACCGCCCAGAGACAGTACATTGCAGTACAAAATATGCGTACACCTCTGAAATAACTTTCCTTGCATTACAACCTTGCAGGGATTAGAAAATTTCGTATATATTTATATTGCCATTCGAATCAAAATTCCATTTTGTGATTTGTCCTGTTCAATATGAATAAAAAAATAATTGTTAAGATTTTAGAGAGAAAAATGCAGAAGAAACAACTTTGTTTTATATATATCAAACATGGCTGAAAAAAAGATAATGATCTTGAAGTCAAAATTCTATAGAATTTCCGCTGGAAATTCTGACAGACTTGAAACTTTCTTCTATTGTCCTACATTCTCTCTATACGATTTCTTTCAAATAAATTAAAAGACGAGTTTCAATTCACAAGATTGATTATATTTGTGTAAACCTTTGTTTTTACAATCTAAAACATTTTTCATGCTTTAATGCGGGTTTGCATGAAAACAAGAAAACTAGGTTATTTTGTCACTTGAATACCTTCCTACCTTCCTACCTTCCTACCTTCCTACCTTCCTACATTTCTACCTTCCTACCTTTCTACAATCCTACAATCCTACCTTCCTACCTTCCTACCTTCCTACCTTCCTCCCTTCCTACCTTCCTACCTTCCTACCTTCCTACCTTCCTACCTTCCTACCTTCCTGACCCCTCCCCCTCCTGAATACCCACCTTGTTAAAATAAGTAGAAGGTTGTGTTCTAGTATGTTAAAAGAGAATGAGCTTGTGTAAGGTTCCACCAGTTTAAATATCGACCTGGAGTTTTCCAATTTGAAATTATGCACTCCAAACCAGGCCTCTAAACTACTTCAGGTCGGAAACAATAAAAAGTTGACGAGAATGCATTTCTCCGGGTGTCCTTGAAACCTAGAGAGATTGGAACCTATTTCTTTTAATTGATTGATTGATGAATAATAATATATCATGATGAACAATTAATCAAGATCCCCATAAACCTGTCAAAATACACGCAAGCTTTATCAAGTTGGTTCAAACCAACCCCTTGTAGCAGGGGGTAGCTGGGTAGCATGCAAATATCAATAGAAATACCTTCATACAATCTTTCAGAATAAATGTAGATAATTAAAATAAAGAAAATAAAAATTTTATTGTACTAACGAATTTTAACTTTAAGAGAATTAAAAATTTCATGGATTTTCCTGTTTACATTCAAGGATTTAAAAATATTTCAAAATCTTCAATCTCCAACGGCCCGAAACCTGAAACCTTCTTGAGGGTTATGGGAGTTCCAACAAAAAAATTGGACTCGATCAGAGTCGCATATGTCAGTGAAGCCGATAAATTTCAAATTTTGCGCGCCATTTAAGATTATTTACAAAAACGGGAGGGACTCTCTAAATTAAAAAATAAACGGTTTTCGATTTTTTTTCTACTATATCACAGAAAGAACGGTTTAAAAAGAAAATCAAAAGTGTGTCCATTGGATACTCAGATTAAGTAATCGGGATTACAATTTGTATGTTTACGTTTTGACTGCATGAGGGTGTACTTAGTAAAACAAAAATATTACGGCTTATAAACGGAGTAAACTTGTCCGTCTTCACTGTTCATCTTGCGGAGACATTATAGACAAATCTCTACAGCCATTTACCGTTTTAATAAAATAAACTCTAGCAGACATAATAATATTATTGCTTTTGAAATCAGGTATTACAATGCTAATTCATGACAAAGACGATATCGAATTCGTCACTGAATTCCCATGTTTATTGGGACACTCTGTACATAAGTGAATCCTTATCAATTACCATACTTTACAAATTCATTGAAATCCAGCAGTGCTATCATTTTATGCATTAGGATAAATTAAATGAGAAATAAAAAATAAATAATCTTGAAGAATTAATGTATGTACATATATTAACTTAAAAGTTTTCAGTATTTTTAAAATAAATTTACAGTCAGCGCACAACTTTTTACATAGTTCTAATAAATTGTTAGAATATTGTATTTAAATGTTTTATTTTGCTAACAATATATTTTGTATACTTTGATTTTAGTCAAGATCTTCTAAAGCTTTCTACTAATAACCCTGGACATGAGTAAATTAATGGCTTGGCTCATGGCTTGGGTTGTATGAGTCATGAGGGCAAATTTCTAACTCATTATTTATATTATTTATTTATAAACATTAGAACTCGTTCTATATATTTTAGTTGTGTTTAAGATTTTCTTTAAAATGTTGTTGTAGGTATAAATAAACTTTGCTTAATCATAAGCAACATTTGTGCAAATTTTAAAATTTGCAAATACAGAATCAGTTTTAGCCATTTTGTACAATATTTTTACCATGAAAAAAAAGTTTGCACAAGAAGAAAATAAAAATTTCAGATTTCAACCCCCCCCCCCCTATTCCATCTAGAAAATTCTGCAATTTCCTTATCAAACTATGCGCTTTCTCCATATTTGAGTAAACCGGAAGTCCTAAACGATTCAACCGGAAATAGAAACATAATTAACAATTCCAAGGTCAAGTTCAATTCCTAAAGAGGCCTCCATTCCGTACCGTCCCGGCCTCGTAGTGCAGAAGCACGTATCCCGGTACAGTACAAAAGACGTGCCGACACGACATTTTTATGATAAAGTGATAAAAAAAATTTGAAAATTTAAAACCTTTGATTTTAGAAAAAAATCCAAAAGAATTATTAAGATTTCTTAAGTTGAAGTAACTCCCATTCTGTTCGGGTTTACGACGCATAATGGAAACTACGTATGAACCATAAGTTATAAATAATTCAGAAATGTTTGATTGATCATCCAAATAAAACTGTTTATGATTCCCCTCGAGGAATGTATCCCGAGGAATGTATCCCGAGGAATGTATCACCAGGAATGTATCCCGAGGAATGTATCTCGAGGAATGTATCCCGAGGAATGTATCCCGAGGAATGTATCACGAGGAATGTATCCCGAGGAATGTATCCCGAGGAATGTATCCCGAGGAATGCATCCCGAGGAACGTATCCCGAGGAATGTATCCCGAGGAATGTATTCCGAGGAATGTATCATGAGGAATTTATCCCGAGGAATGTATCCCGAGGAATGTATCCCGAGGAATGTATCCCAAGGAACGTATCCCGAGGAATGTATCCCGAGAAATGTATCCCGAGAAATGTATCCCGAGGAATGTATCCCGAGGTTAGAACTTTTATGATTTTCGGGATCAAGCATTTCTCGAACAAATGTTATATACTTTAATATTTGAAAAAAGTCCAACAAAAAAGTGTAAAATAGCAAATGCTAAATTCGACCGAGTTCCAAAATTTCTATCTTTCTACCTTCGTCCCCACCCCAAAAGGGGTGTTTGTAAATTATAAAAAGAAACATTTGTAATGTGTCTGTTTTGATATTTCAAACTTATACTATTTAATTTTAATCTATAAAAGGTGCAACAACTTTGGGTTCAAAGCTTAGAAAATTTGAGTTTGTGGCAGAAACTCAGTTCCTTTTTAGTGAGAAAGAAAGGCGCGAAACCTGCGGTTTAGAATTTTGTAATTTGAAATTTATCATCATTATTTCTCGCATCATTTAAATAAGGCCAATTTTTATTTAACTAATTGTTCTAGCTTGCTTGCGGTTTCCTCCATCAAGTTGGATCAAATATTAATACCTTTTAAAGGAGTTGGTTGTCAGTTGTTAAATATGGGTGTGAAACAAGTGAGTCACTTTTAGGACCTGATTGGTCTTTCAAGAATTTTATTCGAAGTACCGGGCCAACTTTTAGGCAGCTAGAGCAAGTTGTACACAGTAGCAGTATATATATACAGAAGCCGGAAAAATATCATTAAAAACCAAATGAGTTTTCTCCTTCTAGGAGATTACTGCACAGTGGTGCTACATTGATTGGCTTGTCGAATAATCAGATCTACATAAAAATATAACCATGGAGAACTATCTGTCTTATTATATTCAAAACCGTTATTTTATCTGTTACATAATAGTGTACTCAAATCATGTTGTAATTAAAAAAATCAAATTAACTATGCCAGTTTATGCAATTTTCGTTTTCATAATAGTTGGTAATTATAAATTATACAGGTCAGATATGTTTATTTAGCTGATGAGGAAACCAAGTAATATCACGATAAAAACACAGAACAGAACACAGAACAGAACGCAGAACAGAACACAGAACAGAACACAGACCAGAACACAGAACAAAACACAACAGAACACAGAACAGAACACAGAACAGAACACAGAACAGAACACAGAACAGAACCACAGAACAGAACACAGACCAGAACACAGAACAAAACACAGAACAGAACACAGAACATAACACAAAACAGAACACATACTAGAACACAGGACAGAACACAGAACAGAACACAGAACAGAACACAGAACAGAACACAGAAAAGAGCACAGAACAAAATACAGAACAGAACACAGAACAGAAATAATGTTATTTTGAATTTTATTTTTGACTTACATTTGTTTAATCCTAATCTCTCTGTTAACTCTGTACGAGGTCTCTGACATGACTACTTCGGTATATAGAGGACATGGAGGTTTATGTATAGAGGACGGAGAGGGTTCATGGGACGGATTAGAGGCCCTTAAACCGAGGCTTATGCAATAAACTAATGTTCCGTCAAAATTTCTCTATATTTCTTAAATCCCAAACTTTACATCTTTTCAGCTAGATGTTTAAAATCTGCTAGATCAGATTTTAATTTTAAAAAGTAGAATCTTGAGTTTAAACGCTATAATAGCACCTTTTGTTAATGATTTTAATCAGTTTTTTTTCCTAATTCTATAAAAAATTCATAAAAATTTTTTTAAAATATCCAGTGAGTAATTTCAAGTAACCCCTTTTTCACAATGATGTATCCTTAAAACATTTGTCTGAGCTGATGAAGTTATCCCATTTCTTCTATCTTAAAACTGATTTTATTTCAATTGTGGTTTCTCTGTAAAGTGACATGCGGAATTATGCAGTAGGGGAAATTTTAAAATTCCACACTTTTCCAGATTAAAATACGACTCCCTCATTATGGTTTAAATTCAATTTTTAAAAAATTCAACAATAACTTTTAATATTGACTTGGAATAAAAAATAATGCTTTAAATAATATTATCAATTTATTACAAAATAACTTATCATTGTCATTTTTAAATAAGAACTAAATTTATACATTTTGCAATATACACACATGTGAACAATACTAAGTACGATATTGTAATTAAATCAGACACTTTTTTATTATCTTTTGTGTAAAACCATAGACCAGAGAAAAATGTTAGAAAGGTAAAAATATTCAATAGTTCAGAAGATTTTTTAAAATTTTGGAATATTTTTAATTTTCTTAAAAATTAAAAAAAATCTGTCGATCAAAAGGAATCGAGTATTTGTGACAAAAAACTGTTGCATTGCTGATTGCTTTGAAATATTAAATATTTAAAAAAAATTATGATATGTTTTAGTATTTTACTGGGAAAAATGTTATGTTTTTAAATTATGAAATAAAATGTTAGAAATGTAAGAATATTCAATAGTTCAAGAGATTTTTTAAAATTTTGGAATATTTTTAATTTTCTTAAAAATTAAAAAAAATCTGTCGATCAAAAGGAATCGAGTATTTGTGACAAAAAACTGTTGCATTGCTGATTGCTTTGAAATATTAAATATTTTAAAAAAATTATGATATGTTTTAGTATTTTACTGGGAAAAATGTTTTCGTTATACTATTTTTAGAATTAACCGTAACTTTCGAAAATATTCATCTAAAGTTTAGGCCTCCATATCTACACCAATTAAAAAAGTTTAAACTACAAAATCTTTAAAGCAGAATTGCTAAGATTTACAAAGTTTTTGTCTGAAATAAATCTGAAATAAATTCTTTAATACAAACATTACACTAAAGTAAAAATTTTTTTGAAAATAAGTTTGATTTTTATATTCTCTGATGTACTATTAAACATGTGGCTTTAGAAGATCGTACTGCAGTAATCCCGCAAACAATGATCGTCGATTCTTTTGATTTTAAATATTGTTTAAATGTTTCTGGAAATCCAGAAAAACTTAATTTGTGCTAAAAACTCAGTTCTTGAGATTTCCAGAAAAGGATAAAAATTCTTTGTATTTAAACCTTTCTCCCTCGGCCGCCTCCTGTTCCCAATATTATAAACTTATTTTTGGTCATTTTTAAAATTTTTCAATCTCAATTTGTTCATCTTCTTTAGGTTTGCTCATGTTGGTTAGGATAACAATGGCGTCTGTGTAGGTTGGAAAAATTTGACAGTCTAGTTTAAGACTGGAGGACTGGGGCAGGGTTGCGACTACTCCTAGAGAATGTCCGTCCTGTTTCACAATTCCCTCCAGCCAAGGGATGAGTCCTGCTCCTACCCGGTCTAAGTAGCTCACACCAGTGATATCAAGGACGATATCCTCCATAGGACGGAAGGAGTCGTTGGAGGAGTATCTCTCAGTACTCCCGGATACCTCAGCCTTGATCCAAGATCTAAAATAGATTCATTAGGAACAGTACTCCCGGATACCTCGGCCTTGATCCAAGATCTAAAATAGATTTATTAGGAACAGTACTCCCGGATACCTCAGCCTTGATCCAAGATCTAAATAGATTTATTAGGAACAGATTTAATTACTAGCTAGAGGAAGTTGAACCACACACTAGCTAGATAGGAGAATTGGTTCAACTAAGTCTGAGTAGTTCAACTACATCCTGCACTATTTATTAATTCCGGTTCCTGCAAGAAAGACAATGTCTGAAACCAGATATTTTTTATTTAATTTTTAATTCCAAAGTAGTTAAACTAGAAATGGTTGGTTTATGTACTTTTCGGGTGGTTTAAAAATGTAAATAATTTAACAACTTCCAAAGTATTTTTTAGTTTAAACCAATGTGTATCCCTATTTGTAACAATTTTTAACCATTTGTATAATATCAGAAATTAAATACAATATTGAAGTGTAGACACATGCATGCCTTCACTTCAACTATATACATACTTGTTTATTCGGGTCAAAATTTTATGTGGGACCTCACATGATTCCGGTGAAGTTTTATGGATTTTAAGAATTTAAAAATTTTCCGTAAATATTTCGATTTTTTAAAATCCACGAAAAGTATCGATGAATCCGGAAACATTTTTTGTTATTGTTTGATAGTTTAGAAGGAGAAGATGCCGCAGATAACAATTAAGAGTTAAAATTTTAGATAGACGCGAAGTGCTCCTAGTTCGAGTAAATTACACATATTACCTGACTAAATCCTTGACTAGAAAATTGACCGGTCCCATCAGCTGAATGACCTTGATACCTCCCTCAGTTTTAAAATACTTTTTATTCAACCAAACTCCATCCTCTCCCTTCTCCAGGACCCGGATAGAGGGAACGGTGGCTCGAACAAAGGTAATAATCAGGGAGGAGGAAACTCCAACAATTAGTCCTGGAAATATAAAAAAATGCTTCAAGAGGAGAAGGCGAAAAGATTTGAGTTTTTGTCACAAGTTCAAATTTTTAAATCCTCATATCTTTGCGACCCAATGTCGTAGCTATTTCAAATTTCTAACTATTAATTCTGTCAGACCAAATAGTCTAAGTTTGAAATACCAAAGGTTTGCACCGTCATATTGCAAAGATATAGACATAAAAAAATTTGAGTTTGTGGCAAAGACCCAATTCCTTTAAAGTTACTCTCCATTTATAGCATGGCATTTTTAATCCACAACAGTAAAATAGCTTTTTCTTATCAAGAATACATAATAATATTTATCATCTTCTTTTAAAACTTGAGATAATTTCAACAAAGTGCCTGACGCATAGTACACTTGTGAATCGGATGAAGGCCTTAAGCCTAAACAGCTTAGTTCCTTAATCTTACCTCAAACTTTTGAAATGAGAACCTTTGTAAATATACTGAAATGTATATTGTCAGTTTACTGATTTATCAAATTCATGAGGTGTGAACTTATGAATTGTTGATCCCCTCGTAACAAGAAAGTACAAATCCGTGTCTTTAATTATATCTTAGAAGTTCTAAGCCACACAAATATTACTTTAACCCGCAAGAGATCGTAAAAGACGAGTCAGCTGTTTTCACGGATAAGGTATACTCAATCACTTCAAATTAAAAGTGTTATGAAGTAGATAAAAAAAAACTTATCTTACTGGTTTAATCTCTTGTTAAAGAAAGGTTCTAGATAAACTCCACGAGATAAGTAAATGCTTAACTCTTTAGGAATTTGTTCAAAAGTTTCCATTCCTGGATTATATTACCATAATCTACATCAAGTAGAACAGTAGAAAGGAAAGTGATTAACCAGATAAACCCATCGTGTGTAGACAGAGCAAAATACTTGCGTACTTCCATGACCTAAACATACATAGATAAATAAGTAAACATAGATAACTTATATATAAGCAATTTTAGCTAAAATTGTATTATCTATCTTTATACATGTATTTTGCACCTAAAAAAAAATAGTGTCAATTTTGTTTTATACTAACAAAATAGAGTTAGGAGCTTTCTTTTTCGTCATAAAACTTTCTATGTAGTTCATTAGTGCGTGGAACCCAGTATCCTTACTACTATACTGTATGTACATTGTACATTAAACAATGTACACTGTACAGTGCACAGTGTATACAATACAATAACACAACGAATGTGATGTACCAAACATCCTTTTTGTAATTTCGATCAAAAATTTCATAATTTCGAAGGGATTTAAATACGCTCAATAATTTGATCAAAATGTTATGGAAACTTATTAATTTAACTACATTTGCAATTTTTAAAATAAGTTAAAGAAAACTTATTTTCTTTAATAGCTATGTTTTTTTATATTTTACCTTTTTAACGATGCCAACAAGAGATGCAAGTATAATGGACGCCAGAACACAGACAGGAAGGGTTTTGAACAATGGTCCCAGGTAGAGTAGAACCCAGAGAAGAAGAAAGGCAGATGTCAGGCTGGTTATCTGGCTCCTAAATATTAGTACAGAAACATGTTTAAAGGGACTGTAAGCATAATTTCAAGTGACCCTCAATGCAAAAATGGCAATGCCCTATTTTCAATGGTTCCCTTGAAACCTTTATCTGATCAATAATGATAAAGATAATGACGTGTTCAGAAGTATTTAAATTTTTATCATTTTTATATGTTTTCCTGAAGTATAGAAATTCGCAAGTCACTTTTGTATAGAAACCACAATTGAAAATAACCAGGTTTTCCAAATTATAAAAATTAATTTCTAATTCATAATTCATCAGAGAGAGTTTTTAAGGGTAGTGTTGTGAATCGGGCATTGTCATCTTTTCAGAGAGAGTCACTTTAAATTACGCGTACAGTCCCTTTAATACGTATTTAAAAATATATATTTCCCAATTTTCCTGATATCTAATTCATTTTACTGAAATCCTAAAAATTCGAATTTCTGTAAAATCACTTTTGTATGTAGCCATTGAGAGATTGTTAAACTCCCTGCAAGGAACAATCGACTTTAACTCATTTGAATCGGATTAAATCTTTCTGTTTAAATGTTGTCAGCTCTTAAAACTTACTTGCATCCACTAGCTTCTTGAACCACTGATCTTGAGAGAGAGCCTGACATTGGGATACAGCTGAACATGCTTCCAAATATATTGGATACACCCTATAATAAATTATTCTTAGTACCTAACTATAACCCTAAGAGTATCGTTGAACAAAACTCCCGAGTTTTTTTTGGGGGGGGGGGTTGGTTTCACATTTGCGTAGATTTTAATTTATGAAATCCAGAAAACAAAAAGAAAATGTAAAGAAACCATATGGAATAATATTTTTTAACAAAAATATTGTATCTACAAAATTGCTCTTAAGTATAGCGCTCCGAAGTAAATAATTTAATTGTACATTTACACCATACGCTATACATCTCATGGTTCTCTTGAATCTTATTCTACACTTCAGAAGAATCCCGCGTATTAAATACCTGACCAGTATCTACTGGTTCAATTGAACCTTACTCTTTACTTCGGATGAATTCCCCGTATTTAATACCTCACCGGATAGCTTCTGGTTCTCCTGAACCTTGTATTCCTAGAATATTCTCCTTATTTCTCTACCTGGCCAAGTAGCTCCTGGTTCTCCTGAACCTTGTATCTCTTGTATATCCTCCTTATTTCTCTACCTGACCAAGTAGCTCCTGGTTCTCCTTGTATCCCTAGTATTATATCCTCCTTATGTCCCTACCTGACCAAGTAGCTCCTGGTTATCCTTGTATCCCTAGTACTATATCCTCCTTATTTCTCTACCTGACCAAGTAGATCCTGGTTCTCCTTGTATCTCTAGTATATCCTCCTTATTTCTCTACCTGACCAAGTAGCTCCTGGTTCTCCTTGTATCTCTAGTAGTATATCCTCCTTATTTCTCTACCTGACCAAGTATATCCTGGTTCTCCTTGTATCTCTAGTAGTATATCCTCCTTATTTCTCTACCTGACCAAGTAGCTACTTGTTCTCCTTGTATCCCTAGTATTATATCCTCCTTATATCTCTACCTGACCAAGTAGCTCCTGGTTCTCCTGAACCTTGTATCCCTAGTATATCCTCTTTATATCTCTACCTGACCAAGTAGCTCCTGGTTCTCCTTGTATCCCTAGTAGTATATGCTCCTTATTTCTCTACCTGACCAAGTAGCTCCTGATTCTCCTTGTATCTCTAGTAGTATATCCTCCTTATTTCTCTACCTGACCAAGTAGCTACTTGTTCTCCTTGTATCCCTAGTAGTATATCCTCTTTATATCTCTACCTGACCAAGTAGCTCCTGGTTCTCCTTGTATATCTAGTAGTATATCCTCTTTATATCTCTACCTGACCAAGTAGATCCTGGTTCTCCTTGTATCTCTAGTAGTATATCCTCCTTATATCTCTACCTGACCAAGTAGCTCCTGGTTCTCCTGAACCTTGTATCCCTAGTATTATATCCTCCTTATATCTCTACCTGACCAAGTAGCTCCTGGTTCTCCTGAACCTTGTATCCATGCTTCTTTCCAAACATTTTACCAAGACCAACACCAACAGTGAAGGAAACAATTGCTGGGGCCAGGGCATCAGCAAAAACCTAGTAAAATAATTTTGCATAAAATGATCTCCTCAATAACGTAGAGTGGGATTATTTTCAAACGTCTATTTACTTTTGTGATAAAAAGCTGAACTTTTTTCTTAAACTTTTTTTTAAAATTTATTAAGCGCGATAGAGATGTTATGTAATTTATTAAGTGATAGAGATGTAATGTAATTTATTAAGCGATAGAGATGTAATGTAATTTATTAAGTGATAGAGATGTAATGTAATTTATTAAGTGATAGAGATGTAATGTAAAAGTATGTCCAAGAAGCGTTGTTGGTATGCAATGGTTCAATATCATCAGTCTTTTGTACTTCAAAAACACGTTTCTGTGTGTTCCAAAATCATTACATTTGGCATTAAAAACAGTGATCCCATCCTCCTGGCTTTCAGTCAGAATTGTTAATGTCGTCTTTACAATGATAGATAGATAGATATTTTCTTAACCATGATATCAGAGAACTGGAATATCTAATTATTTTAATGAAATATTTCACCATAGGAATAAGTTTAAGCAAAGGGAAGGTTGGGTAGGGTAGTCCAGTAGGGATCTCTCCAATACTCTCTATGGTCCTAATAAAATAATCAAATGTACAACCTATAAAAATGACGAATTCAATTCGACATTTTTATAGGTTGTAAATTTCATTTAAAATTTTTTTATAGGTTGTAAATTTCATTTAAAAAATTCTTTGTATACGATGTACTTTTAACGACGTTTATTTGGCCGCTAGGTGTCTCTGCTCTCGATGTTTCAGGGATTTAACTCGGTATGGCCACCTAGCGGTAAAAAAATCGTCGTATCCCTTATCAACATATTTTTTAGCGCTCTAAGACATCAAATACTACAAAATTAGAGAAAGAAAAAATTAGTTAGTTCCTTTAAAAAAGAATAATTTTTTTGTTTAAAAGTTCATGATGCCTCTTCTTTTTGGTTTGGAGTAGTAGTGTCTTGATATCAAGAATACATGGCATTTCCAATATGCATCATTAACATTTCCAAACCATTACTTTTCTCTATAAACGGGACTTCTATAATTAATGAATATCCCTGAATAATATAATCAAGGAGAGCTGGTTTACTACCTAACATGATGTATATCCCTGAATAATATAATCAAGGAGAGCTGGTTTATTACCTAACATGATGTATATCCCTGAATAATATAATCAAGGAGAGCTGGTTTACTACCTAACATGATGAATATCTCTGAAACCCAGGAAGTGGGATAAAGTTGTGAATAGTATAATCAAGGAGAGCTGAGTAGGAAGAGGAAACCTAAAAAAAATATATTCTGTTCAAATAGGAATTGAGTCTTTGCCACAAACTGAAATTTTCTAATCCCTTTATTTTTAATCTTTGATATTAAATTGTAAGCTTTTAGCTTATTTGATCCAACAGAATTCATAGTTTGAAATATAAGGTCTACAACATTGGGTTGCAAAGATGAAGGAATTAGAAAATCAGGATTTGTGGCAAAGACTCAATTCCTTTATTAATCTATGTCAAATGAAATCTGAACTGAAAACGGTTTTCGTTCTTTTTTGTACTTTTTATAAATACTTTTTTTTAAAAGCTTAATTTCTTTCCACTATTAAACAATACAAATTTAAGATTTCGCAAATTTGTCAGTTTTAGTTTGAAGCATTTTAACAATTTTGGTATTTTTAGAAGCAAACTTTTTGTTTTTGATCTTAAAAAAAATTCCGCGAACTCATGTAAATAGTTCTTGAAAGTGGTGAACTCGTAAAATGTATTATTATTAGAATTAATAAAGTCGTATGTACATATTATGTACATATTATGTACATTGTATGTTTATACAATGTACATTAAACTGGGATTTATTTTTTATTTTTATGTACTTAGTAAAAACAATATATTTTGTAAATACATTAACGAGTTATTTATTTTAATTGACTAATATCTTTTTACATTTTTATTTATCAAGATGCATATGCCACTTTTTAAAACTAAAACATTATTGATTTTAAGAAGTTTTGACTGATGTCATATTTTAATTACAAATATTATGAAAATTTATATTTTACAAATCCAAAAAGAATTTTGAGAAACTTTTTCAAACTTCCCGTCAAAGGAATTGAACACTTGCCACAAACTCTAGTTCACTAATCCTTATATCTCTTTAACCTGATGGTGAAAACATGAAAAATTTGAAACTTTGACTAGGTAACCAGCAGAAGCAATAGTTTGAAATATCAATGATTCTACGACGTTCGAATGCAAAGTTTGATGCGAGTAATCAGTTCTAAAATTGTCCATATATATATATATATTAGGCTTTTAGGGCGCTTGGCTCCCATCTTCTATTTCAACTTTTAATTGTGGCTTTATCTGTGAGCATCTTCTCTTTGTACAGAATAAAACAAAAAGAAAAAAGTTTGCGGATTTCATAACATTTTTTCGCCGCATTTTCAAATTTTTACAAAAAATAAAAAACTTAAACACAAATTTTTTTTAATTTTGATTATTACAACACCTTCCCTATGATCACGTGATGTCCAACACAAAAAGTGGGGCCGATCGGTTCAGCCGTTTTGACGTTTATTGGATACAAACAAACAGACAAACAAGACAGACAGACAAGCTAAATTATATATACTAGAAATTCAAGGCGCTCCATGCCCTTCTTTCTAGGCTTTAAGGCCGCTTCTTGCCCATCTTCTATTTAAATTGTGAACATGTTCTTTTTGTTTACATTTTAAACCAAAGAAGAAAAAAATTTTGCGGATTTAAAAAAAAATTCGCGGATTTTCAAGAATTTAAATTTTTTTACAAAATTAAAAACCTTTAAAACCTTTTTTAATTTTTATCATTCATAAACCTTCCCTGTGGTCACGTGATGTCTCACAAAAAATTTGGGCCCGATCGGTTCAGCCGTTTTGTCGTTTATTGGATACAAACATACAAACAGACAGACAAGCCAAATTTATGTGTACCTGCATTTAGTTTTGAGTTTAGGTCCAATGAAGAGATCAATGAACAAGCTTACTGCAATAGTAGCAGCAGATATAGCCAGAGTTATTAAGTTAGTTGTGGGAACCTTTCGACCTAAAAAATATCTAAAATGAGAAAATTTTATTTTAGATACAGTTTTATTTACAAAACAGTTATTTAATAAATCTAAGAAATTTAACTATTCGTACAAAACTGTACTGTACTGTACTGTACTGTACTGTACTGTACTGTACTGTACTGTACTGTACTGTACTGTAATAACTCATGTACATTTGTACCTAGATCATAGTAGGTAAGAACCAGGCGACCAATACCAGCATGCCGAGGAATTCTAAATTAAGACGACATTTGTAAAACTTTAAGCACATTGAGTTATCTTGCTTCATTGCTTATGCTCTAAAGCGTTAAACTGAATGCTATATAACACATGAACAGCGTTTCCCTTGTGCTCTTTCATTCCTTATTTGAAGCCTTAAGCTTCTTATCTGTAACTCCAACCCAGCACATCGTTTTTATCTTAACATTTCTTATTTATATCACAGTATTTAGACTATTTCCTTGCTCTTTCTTTTTACTTCATATTTGAAGAAGAGTTTGCAGGTGTTATGCAAAAATATCATAATTAATACTAATGTTTTATATTAATTATTCTTAGAGTGTTGGGGAGTAAAATATACTGGATTATAGCGTACAAAAAAAAACATAAAAGGACGTACCTTGTATTGGTTGATTAAAATTAATCTAAATATATTGTATTATAAAGATACTAAATTAATGCAAGATCATTTCCGAACCCTGAAAAAAAACATTCACATGCAATGCTATAAAATTAAATGATATTTAATTGTATTATTAAGACTATTTTGAAAAGTTACATAAAAGACTATAATCATGTTAAATGGAAAAGTTTTAAGCTAGTTAAAATATATTTTTAATATATTTTTTTCCGCCAAAATGTTTTAATAAATCTATAGTTTGTAAAATTAGTAAACAAGATTTTTTTTCAAAGGAATTGAGTCTTTGCCACAAAACCAATCTTTCGAATCCTTATATCTTTGCAACCTGATGATTTAAACCTTTGGGTTGTTCAGATATAGGGATTGGAAAATCAAAGTTTGTGGCAAAAACTTAATTCCTTTCCGCTTTACTTTTACGTCTGTTATAAGGTTTAAAATATGAAATTCTGAAAAATCTGCCGGAAAAAGAAAGGATTCGTATTTTTACCAGGAGACTAAAATTAAAGAGTTTCAAGGTTACCCTCATAGACTGTTTTTTATTGAATTTAAATATGCAAAAATGTCTGTAAGCAGTTATTTGACATTGACGTGAGTTTGCATGTAGAAACTATGAGAACAATAGAAAACACCACACTATAGTACACTACGCATGATTTAGATGCATGTTATAAAGTACAAAAACTGATGTTTTAAATAGCTATGAAAAAGTAGGCATGTCTTGAAAAATGTGGTCTCCCGTCCTACCTGATTCCCAGGACGTGTTTACACTACTATCCTACCCTACCTGATACCCAGGACGTGTTTACAGTACTATCCTAACCTACCTGATACCCAGGACGTGTTTACAGTACTATCCTACCCTACATGATACCCAGGACGTGTTTACAGTACTGTCCTACCCTACCTGATACCCAGGACGTGTTTACAGTACTATCCTACCTTACCTGATATCTAGGTCATGTTTACAGTACTATCCTACCCTACCTGATACCCAGGTCGTGCTTGCAGTACTATCCTACCCTACCTGATAACCAGGACGTGTTTACAGTACTATCCTACCCTACCTGATATCCAGGACGTGTTTACAGTAGTATCCTACCCTACCTGATACTCAGGTAATGTTTACAGTACTATCCTACCCTACCTGATAACCAGAACGTGTTTCCAGTACTATCCTACCCCATCTGATACCCAGGACGTGTTTACAATAGTATCCTATCCTACCTGATACCTAGGACGTGTTTACAGTAGTATCCTACCCTACCTGATACTCAGGTAATGTTTACAGTACTATCCTACCCTACCTGATAACCAGAACGTGTTTTCAGTACTATCCTAGCCCACCTGATACCCAGGACGTGTTTACAGTACTATCCTATCCTACCTGATACCTAGGACATGTTTACAGTAGTATCCTACCCTACCTGATACCCAGAACGTGTTTCCAGTACTATCCTACCCTACCTGATACCCAGGACGTGTTTACAGTACTATCCTACCCTACCTGATACCTAGGACGTGTTTACAGTAGTATCCTACCCTACCTGATACCCAGGACGTGTTTGATTTGACTGGTGATAACGTGGAAGGATGCTCCGACTGTGAAGGAGCTGACAACGGTGTCCGTGAGGACCATGGAGAGGAACCCGAGCCTGCCAATCCCAGCAATTAGCTGGATTAATCCTGGTAGAAAATGTTGGGATTTATTAAAGGAGTTATCGCCATGCTCTAAAGGGAATATTAGCGAAAAATCGTTTTATATAATTTTTTTCAAAATTTTTAGTCTTTCAATTTTTTCATATTTCTGATAAAAAAGATAATATTTAATAAAAAGTATAAATTATCCACAGTATTCTGGCAAAATATTTATTACTTTTTCTACAGAATGTATTGCTCATTATTGCCCCAGCTCAGCAACTTTTTTTATTATTTAATAATGCCTAATTTTAAATTTGTATACATTTGCTTTGATTATCAAAACAATAATATAATTATTTTGTTCTTCTAACTTTAACTTACGAAACTGTTTATTCTGCGTAATACACTCACATGTTTGTTTGTTTTAATATCATAATTACATAAATTTAGCGGAAATTCTCCATTTTTTACATTTATACATGTTCATGATTTATACAGATGTGAGTGATTAAGCATATTGTTAACTTGTGGGAGTACAGAGTACAGTACAGTACAGTACAGTACATTACAGTACAGTACAGTACAGTACAGTACAGATTGAATAGTGGAATAAATGTTTTCTTCATTCATTGCCTCTGTGGGATCGTCTACGTCAGAGCCAAGCCTAAAAATCATTTAGAAAAATAAATTAAGTGTTGGAAACTGTTTTAGCGATGTTTACCTGAAAAACTGGCTTAGCAATGTTTACCTAGAAACTGGTTTTTCAATGTTTACCTGGAAACAGGGGCGTACGAGAGCTTTTGTTTTGGGGGGCACAATTTTTTGGCCCCCCCCTTGGCAACATTGTGCCCCCTCCTTAGAAACCCCTTTTTAAAAAAAATATTAATACCTTTTTTAAGTTTTTTTTGCCCCCCCTTCCATCTGAACTTGTTTTGTTCACCATAAAAAGACTACATTTTTGGGTGTTACTAACTAACTTTTTGACTTAAACTGGTTTAGCAATGTTTATCTGGAAACTGGTTTATCAATGTTTACCTGAAAAACTGGTTAAGCAATGTTTATCTGGAAACTGGTTTATCAATGTTTACCTAGAAACTGGTTTATCAATGTTTACCTGGAAACTGGTTTATCAATGTTTACCTAGAAACTGGTTTATCAATGTTTACCTAGAAACTGGTTTATCAATGTTTACCTAGAAACTGGTTTAGCAATGTTTACCTGGAAACTGGTTTAGCAATGTTTATCTGGAATCTGGTTTATCAATGTTTACCTGAAAACTGGTTTAGCAATGTTTATCTGGAAACTGGTTTAGCAATGATTACCTGGAAACTGGTTTAGCAATGTTTACCTGGCAACTGGTTTAGCAATGATTACCTGGCAACTGGTTTAGCGACCATGATACTGATGACCGCAAAGGAGCCCATGGAGACGTGTGGCATGGTTCCGAAGAAAACATAAAGAAGAACTGGGAAGAAGGCTGTATAGATTCCAACAACAGGGTCTACACCAGCCAGCAGTCCATACGCCATACCCTGAACATTTAACAATTAATTCCTTAGCAACAAGAAATTTCATTTAAATAGGTTTTGTCATTTTTAATTCGAATTGCTCAACCCCAATTACATTAAAAAGTACAGTACAGAGGTATGCGATTACATCGATACAAAGAAGACGATTTTTTAAGTTTTGCTTGTTAACAAGCTTTTTTGAATTACAAGTTTATAAGTAATCAAATAGAAGCTTTTTTAATTGACAACTTCTATTGACTTCTATAGTTAATGAGTATCCATGCTATTTAACAACTTGCTAGAAATCAAAATTGAAAGTTGTCTTCCTTGTATTGATGTATTCGATGACAACAATATCTCACCCCCTACCTGAGGTATGTGCATGATGGCCACAGTGAATCCGGCGATCAAATCAGCGGCGATGTTCTTCTTAAAGTCATACTTCGGTATCCAGGTTATAGGTGGTACTATAAGAACAGTATGAATTAAATCCATGCAAAGAAGGCAATGTCCGATTCACAACGGTATCCTTAAAAGCATTGTCTGATCAAGTAGATATCAATATTTACAATTTTTAAAAATGATTACTGTCAACTGTGGGTTCTCAACAAAAGTGACTTGCACATTTTTAATGCAGGAAAATATGCAGGAATTATCAAAAATAAACACTTTTAAACCTAGAAAAACCACAATATCTTCCACATTATTGATCAGATAAAGGTTTTAAGGGTATTGTTGTGAATCGGGCATGGCATCTTTACATGGAGGGGCACTTATAATTACACTTACAGTCTCTTTACTGCAGATTTCTATGTGGAGATTATTATATAAATATACATATATACAGGGTGTCCCAATAAACATGGGAATTCAGTGACGAATTCGATATCGTATTTTCAAATAATTCTTTGATTTAGTAAAGTGATACCTACTGAGAAAGCTGTAATCTGTAAGAGTTTCGTCTGCTATGTTCACATTTTGTTTGTTTATGTTTTGACTGCATACGGTTGTGCTTAGTAAAACAAGAAAATTGCAGTATGCAAACAGAGTAAACTTGTCCGTCTCCACTGTTCATCTTTCGGAGACATTTTAAACACATCTTTACAGTCTTTTACCCTTTTAATAAAATAAACTATAGCAAACATATTGATATTATGGATTTTGAAATTAGGTATTACAATGCTAATTCATAACAAAGACGATATCCAATTCGTCACTGAATTCCCATGTTTTTTGGGACACCCTGTATCACGAGCAGCCGTAGTACATTTGATGTTCTGAGTCGGGTCAACATTTTCGTTCCCAGTTTGTACTGTACCTAGCTCTATGGACAGGACTAGCCGGTGCAACAAGGTTGACGCGGTCAGACTTTATGCTTCATATAGGTTGAATTTACGTTTACTAAAGGGGCAGAGGTGCGTGATATAGCTTCCACAATATTGATAAGATAAAGGTTCAAAGGGTACCGTTGTGAATCAAAAAATGCCACTCTTTTATAAAATTACACCTACAGTCCCTTTAAAGAAAGGTTGATCACGAAAAGGAAGAAAAATTTTGAACAATGAAAAAATAATCGAAAAAGAATTTGAACACTATAAAGAAGAAACTAAAGGATTTAGAATGAATATAACTGTACGAACCTAATGATGAAAGTACAGCAACTATGGAGATCCGAGAAATGGCGGCAGAAGTGGCTTTCGCGCATTTCTTTACCCTTAAATAGATTGTTCACAATATATTGATCTTTAATTGTTTTTATAAAAAAATTGAGTATTTTTTAGATCTTACTTTTGTGTAATCTTGATTGGCGCCCCGCGGCGAAAATGATATTTATCCCTAAACAATTAATTGTATTTTCTAACAGAAAAAAATGACGAAAAAAAAAGTTTAGTTTTTTAATGCAAAAACTATAAATTCCAAAGACCAATTTAAAAATTACTTTATTGCTTGAAATATTTAGGAATTTTTATTTAAAATCCACAGATTGAATTGAAACCAGTCTAATTTCTTAAAATTCTTTTTAAATATTTTTAAATTAGAAAATAGTAATTTTCCTGAGATCTCCTAGAGTAAGAGCATTTCTTCCAAGATCCGCTCTCAATTTAGGTAACTAAACATATTGGATAAATATAAAGGAATAAAGAAACAATTTATTCATCAATTATCAAGGCTGTGTTAATTTTGAATTCTCGCAATCCCTAGGATATTAGTTTTACTCACTTATACTTGTTTGTAGCCTTAGACATGAATATTTAACAACTGTAACGTTCTTCTCTCTAGATTTAGTATTAAAGGCATAATTGGCAAAATTCTGATTTTTGTCTCACAGTCTAAAAGTTGCTTGATCCTAGTCGGTACAACATGTGCTGTATATGCATTCATTCGTACTGTCCAGTCTGGAATACCAGTGTAGAGTCGACGTAGCAACAAATATAGCCTGGCAAGATCGCAGTGGTCTGATATCGGGCACTGTAAGTACAACGCCATGATATAAATTGTAAAGCTGTGTTTCTTGATCTGAGCTTAATCATGAGGTTCTCAAAATCATTCAACAGTACTTACTACTTAAGCTCACTTTAGGAACCTGAAATTTCCACCGCAGGTTTCTAGAGCTTACGAAAAAATGTTGAACTTAAACTTAATTTCTTGATCTTGTTTTCAAAACTTAAGCCTGGTTTCTTTATCAAAGTCTCCGCCAGTGCGAAGAATTAAGACAGTTACATCATCAAATATAGAAATGTTCTTGGAGTTAAAACATACCAATTATTCAATGTAAGTAGTATAGTGCCTTGACAACCCGATTTTTAGAAATACAATGAAAAATTCAATTGTACACATATGCACGCGCACGCGCATTATTTTCTAATAATATTGAAAAAAGTACTATAAAATAAATTGGTAATTTCCTAGTATACGATTTTTGGCCCCCCCCCCCCTCCTATCAATTTTGTACATGGGTGTTACAGGAAGTTTCTTAACTTAACCTAACCCGTGGCCGTAGCGCCAAGCCCCAAGCCCATCCTAGCCGCAGCGCTCGGCCCAGAAAGTATCTTAACCTAACCTAACCCTAAATAACAAAAAAATAAATAATAATAAATTTGCTGAAAAATAAATGGTCATGTACAAAATTGATAGGAGGGGGGGGCGGGGGGGGGTCCAAAAATCGTATACTAGGACCGACCCAATAAATTTAACAATTTAAAATTACCTGAATTTCAAAATGATCATAATCATCCGAATCCTTATCTTTGCTTTCCATCTTTCTACAAAATTGTGATTTTACGTTAAGATTTCGAAAAAAAATCTGTCACTTTTCTAACACATGAAAAGAACTTGACGTCTCAACATGTGAAATAATTATTTCTAACAATGTTAGAGCTGTATAATTGGCATATAAACATGAGGATTAAAATTAAATGAGAAATGAGGGAAGGGGGAGCTGGAGAGAATGGGAGAAGGGGTGAGAAGTTGGGTAGGGGCAAGGTTGGGGATGGGAGATGGTTTTAAAAAGATCGTAATTGCTGTTTATTGCAAAAAGAAATACATATTAATGTCTTTGAGGTCTTTGAACTTTATTTGTATTCATTTATTCAACTTCAGCGGTACACCAGGATCAGGGGGACGGATACTTTTGAATAAAGAAACTAAACACTCGTCTCAAACTCTAATTATCTGATCTTTTTTATCTATATCTTGGCAACCATGATTGTGTACCCTTTGATATTTTAAACTAAGACTATTTGATCTAACAAAATTCAGAGTTTGAAATATCAAAGGTCTACGCAATTGTGGCAAGTGTTCAGTTCTTGTAAAAAATGTTCTCTAATTTGTTACACCTCTCGTTCCATATAGTTTCAGTAGAAGTAAATATTTACATTTACTGATAGCGCCGATTGAAGGATTCATAACTCCGATTGGATAATGAAATAGATAGAAAGATAGATGTTACCGCCATACTATTTCTTTTGGTTCAGAATAGACACCAAACACATGACTGAACCCTGATTGGATCAGGCGCTAATGGACTCAGCATACAGGAGTGGTTCAAGGATCAAATATATTATAATCTTAATTATGATAATTAATTCGCAAAGAGATGGGTCACAATCTCAAGGTAAGAATAGGACGACTCCAACCATTTTTTTTAAAAATCCCAACCCCTTCCAAAAATTTTAGGTAAGTAAATTTATAGTAAATTAAATTTAACTTTTTAAAAAACATTTTTTCGAATTTTAATAAACATTTTTTCGATGGACAACTTTTTGAAATAATTTCTAAAAATTGGATTTTAACAAAAAAGAGAGGTAAATATTTTAGTAAAAGTTAATAATCCTATGTATATATTTCTTGGAACTATGATTAAATTCACTTATTCTATTGTCCTGGGGGTTGCAGGACGGAGCACACAGTGTCATGGAAACATATAATGCAGCGACCTTAGCGGCATTTATTGAAGCAAAATAATTTGATTTCGAATTTTAAAAAAGAACTGAGATTGTGTAGAAAAATATACAACACTTCTAAGCAGCCCTTTGCCGTTAGAAAATCCAGAAAATTTTCATTTATTAAAAGGAAAATAGTTATTTTTATGCTCAAAATTCTTATTCAGTGTTAGTCAATGTCTCTTCTCCGTTTAGTTTAATTAGATGTTCATTATATGTAAATATATGTATTGTATATATATTATATATAATATATGATAAATGTATTATATATATATAATATCACGGGCAGCCGTAGTACATTTGAATTTCCGATCCGGATCAACCTTTCCGGTCCCAGTTTGTACTGCACCGCACGGACATTGGATTAATAAAGAAGACAATCTGCAGGACTAGCCAGTGTAACAAGGTTGACGAGGTCAGACTTTATTCTTCATATAGGTCGAATTTACTTTTACTAAAGGGGTAGAGGTGCGTAATACATAATATATGATATATGTATTTTGATTGAAAAATCACGTTAAGATAGGTTTCTAATTGATTTTCTTGATTTGCTTTTTATTTTATTTAAACTATGGATTTTTGAGTCGCATATCTAGCCTTCACGGAGTTTTCAAAATTCTGAAGCGAAGCTTTTAAAAGAAAATTGATATTTAAGGTTATTAAAGATTAAAAACTTATTAACAAATCCTTTAAATATAAGGTATCCTTATTTATAGTATTTTAGTTTTTGCTACAAACTCAAATTTTCTGATAATTATATCTTTGCAACCTGATGGTGTACACCTTTGATTATTTGATATAATAGAATACATAGTTTGAAATATTAAAAAATATAAAAAATATAAAATATAAAGAATATAGGGAGAAGAAAATCACAGTTATAGATTCTTTGGATTAAAAGAAATTGTAAAACAATATTAAACACATACTTTTTCATCATTTTAATAATCCTTTTGCTATATGTTGTCTTGATTTACTATTTATAATTTTTTACACAGTTTGTAATTAAGATCGAAACAGTTTTTTTTTTTAATGTTTTTCCTTTCTTTTGGTTTAGCTATTATATGAACTTTTTTGGTCGCCAATAAAAGTACAACAAAAACTCTTCAAATATTTTCCTTAACTTTCCTGAAAAACTGAAAATCCGCGAAAAAATCAAAAGTGGTGTTAAAATATATTACAGTTTCATTTCTTTTCGGTGTTTCTGTAAAACGGCAAAAATATGTTAATACAACCTATGACAATGACCAAATATGTTTAACTTAAAACAGATCCTATAAAGGCTGATTTTTATGATGGATCTCGATGTTGCTAAAACTGTGAAATTGAATTGGAAATGATTTTGAAGAAAATAAACTTGCAAAAAGTATGTTTACGAAAGGTTGCCAAGAATAAGTGTTATAAAATATTTAAACAGTAATCTATTGTGTTTTTTGCACGATAGTTTCATTTATTAAAGAAACTGTAAAGGAAAAATTAAAGGGGGTATAGGCTGAAACCTGAGAATCTCAGGAGTTGATTGAGAACTATAGAGTTCTATCTGATGTTCCTGTCTCGAGAAATTGATATAAAACTGTGTCACAATCATACCAAAGCGTATATATGTAAAATTTTGTATAAGATTCGTAGTATTAAACAGATCAAATTCAATAAATACGCAACCAATCTGGAAACAACGATATCCCAGTTCCCAGAGAAGTCTGAGAAACTCAAGTTTGCTCCTATTATTAACTGAATTTCATAATTTTTAATTTTTATTAGATAAAATTGATAATATTATTTGTACGTCCGAATCATGAAACCAGAACTCCAACCAATGGCCGTGCAGTATTATTTGTCACGTGTCACGTAACCAGTATACTGCACTGCCATTGGAGGGAGTTCTGGTCACGTGGTACGGGCATATATCTTAAATATATACGTTTTGGTATAATTTTTCTCAAGAATCAGATAGATGTCTTAGGTATCGTCCAACTCCTGAGATTTTCAGGTTTCAGTCTATACCCCCTTTCATTTTAAGTACATCCTTGAGATCTCACCCTGCATGCCAGAGATTATTTGACATTAATTTAAACCTTCCCCCCCCCCCATAATTTTTCCCTTTTCAGACGAATTTTCTTACAAAAATGTTTACAGTGCAGGCACCTCTGACTCTTTAGTAACGGTAAATTCAGCATAAAGTCTGACCGCGTCAACCTTGTTGCACCGGCTAGTCCTATTGAGTGTCTGCTTTATTTACCCAATGTCCGGGCGATACAGTACAAACTGGGATCGGACAGGTTGACCTCGCTCAGAAATTAAATGTATTACGGCTGCCCGTGAGTGGATCTATCAAACTGTGAAATAGGAAGACAGCTTTTAGACTCGATTTATGATTAAAATAGTCAAATGATTTTGAAACACAGTAAATTTAAACTGTGCACACGTACTACACACAACCACATGTACTTAAAAGTTGCTGATTATATGTCGTCTTCCTATTCCACAGCCTTATGGGTCCCACTGTCTTTTCCTTGCTATGTTATCAAAACAACCTAAGCACCGTCGTCCCCGGCCTGCAAAGGAAAAGAAACTGTCTCCGCAAATTCTTGCATCGTTCTCAATTATATTTTTATCCAGTTTGATCTGGAATAATCATTTAGAAGAAATTCACACATGCACGACATTCTTCTGTTGTAAAAAATCTCAGTTTTAACAATGTTTGACAAGATATACCAAAGTGCTGCCATAAATACAGATTAACTTAAAGGGACTGACAGCGGAATTTCATATGACCCTCCATGGCAAAGATGGCAATGTCCGATTTACAACGGTACACTATAAAACTTTGTCTTATCAAGAATAAATTATATATCAATGTTTTTGTTTCCCTAAACTGTTTATTATCATTTGTGGCTTCTCATGCAATTGTTGTTTTAAAAAGCAATGGAGAAATTCACAGAAATAGATAATTGTATCTTCCACATGTGTTTTAGATTAAGATTTCAAGGGTAACGTTGTAAATCGGCCATTGTCATCTTTACATGAAGCGTCACTAAAGATTACGCTTACAGTCCCTTTAAAATGTTTCATGGATTTTAATCAAAGTTCTCAACTCGATTTATTAAAATTAGACAAGACTTTGTGAATTTTTTAAGGGTTTAAAATTGGACTCAATTCTAAAAGAAATCAGTCCCGCTTCTCAATGTCAACCTCAGAATATAGATCTAGTTTCTGAGATTCCAACTAAGTCTTGAGGCTAATTTTCCCAAATTATGCAAATCGCGACCTTAGATTTAAGAAGTAAGTGAAAAAATCTGAAAGAAATAAGTATCGTTGAAAAGAAAGAACTGTACCTGGAAGGAAAGGAGAAAGAAAAGAAGAAAGGAAATGAGAAAGGAAAGGAGAAAGGAAAGGAGAAAGGAAAGATGAAAAGGAAAGGAGAAAGGTAAGGAAAATGGAAGAAAAAGGAAACTAATTACAGTTTGTGGGAGAAGAAAGGAGCTTTAAAAAAAAAGCATAAAGAAAGTTTATCAACATAAAGGAAACGAAAGCAAGTTTCGAAAATAGAAAGAAAATAAAAGAGATTTTAAAAGAATAGAAAGAAAATTAAAAGAAAGTTTTTTAAACAGAATGGAAAGAATTGGCATGGGTTTTCAAGAAGAGAAAAAACAAAAAGTAAGAAAGTTTATGAAAGAAAAAAAGGAATTAAAGAAAGTTTACAAAATTAAAAATGAAAAAGTTGCTAAAAAAATGTATGCACAATAGTTGGTAAGAAGAAAAAGAAATTAGCTTAAATAGGAACTCATCATAATAAATAAGAAAAAATCCTGATTTCAAAGAGAAAAAATAAATTGTTGGGACGGGTTGTGTTTATAAAAGAGAAGAGCGGGTACTGAACTTTTGAAAAATTAATAATGAAAATAAGAAAAAACCCTAATTTCGATGAAAGAAAAATTATTGAGATGGGTTGTGTTTATAAAAGAGAAGAGCGGCTACTGAACCTTAGAACGAGTTGACTGAGAGTAATCAAGGATTGGAGTTCAGGTGGAGAATATATGCTCGCTCCGTCTACAGTTATAAATAAGGAATTTTCCATTTTATTAAAAAACAACAAAATAATCCGTTAGAAAACAATGGAAGTATAGATCAAAATCTTTGCTATTAATATGTACAGTGGAGTTGAATATAATATTAAACTGTGTGTTTCCTATGCATTACATAAATTAGATATATGCTAATTATCAATTAAATTCATTATTTTGTAATTTGAAAAAGTTTTACGATTTACTTGCCGTATAGCAACAGCAAAATAAAGAACAATTAGATTAAGAAATTAAAGAAATTAATTTCAAGTGACCCTCCATTGATAGATGAGCATATCAGATTCATTATGGTACCTTTGTCTGGGTAAAAATCCTTATTTTTCCAACTTAAAATAGATTGTTTTCAATTGAGGTTCGATATAAAAATGACTATATGCATGGCGGGAGAAAAAATAACTTGTCCAAATTTAACATTTTTCTGAAAAACGACAATATCTTCCTTTTCTTGTTTACATAATTATTTAAAGGGTACCTTCGTTAATCAAAAATGCCGTTCTTGAAAATAAAGTTTTCAGACCCTTTTATTTCAGATCTACCAAGTTTTATCATTTCTTCAATTATTTATCAAACTTGCCATTTCCGCGATTACAATAATGTTGATATAATATTTGATACAAAACTGATAGTATCCACTAGGCTCTCCTCCAGTTTTAAACTATACATAAACTGATTAATCGCCACATACTCAGTATCCTTTACTTTCTTTAGCTCTGCAACCTGATGATGTAAACCTTAGATAGGTCAAATTTTGATCTATAGTAGAAGTTTACAATATCGAATTGGTCGTATAAAATTAGATAAATACACATAATTTAATATAAAATATTAAAAAAATTGTATTTCGGCTGAAATCAAACTGACGATATATTCAATACATTTTAACAAACGTTTGAAAGCCAGGACTGAGGCTTAATCATTTCTTGTTGATTTAATTGGCTTATTTTTTATTTATTTTTATTTTAACAAAATATCAATTTTAATACACAAAGCACTAAGAAATTAAGACCAGGCACCAGAGCTGAAAACTTTTGAATGGGATATCCTTAATCCTGATCGGATAATTAATCTGGAGATTAAAAATGAGAGGAGAACAAGCAATATTTAATCTGGAGATTAAGAAAAAGAGTGGATTAAGCATTAATCCCGATATCCACCATTAGTGAGACATGGTTGAACCCCGCGGGACTTAGTTTGATTACTTCTCTTTAGCTTAAATTTTCGCACAAGGGAAGTGGTTGAACTACGTCTACGAGCTCAGCTACTTATCACTATTCATTAAAATCTGGGTCCATGTTGAGTAGTATAGAGGAAAAACGAAAACCTATACACCTAAAATCCAAATTAAGTGAGTCTTTGCCAAAAACTCAAATTTTCTAATCCCTATACCTTATCAACCTAATGATGTAAACCTTTGATATTTCATACTTGGATTATTTTATCTAACAGAATTCATAATTTGAAATATCTAAGGTCTAGGAATCTGGATTGCAAAGATATACGGATTGAAAAATCAGAATCTGTGACAATTACTCAATTTATTTTGATTAAAATATGGTATATTTTAAGGCTATAATTGCATGATGCGTATTGCAGTTCTTGCTTTTAAAGATAATTTTCTTTACATCTCTAAGGAACACTATATCTAATTCGTGTAAAACATATTTTTGATTCCATTTAACAATTTTGTGTATACTTACTATTCTTTTTTAATTAGGTTTAACTCCTTACATTGGGGACAGGTGTTCATGCCAACCTCAAAGGCCTTTGAGGTTGAACCGTTGAGTGAGAATTAAAACCTTCTCTAAGAGCTGAGTCCTAACACTTTAAAATTATCTCGATCCATGAAAATGCGCAAATTGAGGATTGAAAATTCGCAAAATGTTAGTTTTCTGCTGAAAGCACACTTAAGAGGCAAAAATCTTTCTATTTTTTTTCTTAAAAAGTAAAAGGTTCAATCAATTTTGAATCTTTTTTCATTAAAAACTATTTTTCTTTAAAGGAATTGAGTTTTTGCCACAAAAATATTTTTTCCAATTCCTAAATCTTTACAACCTGAATGTATAACCCTTTAATATTTCAAACTTACACTACTCAGTACATAATCTACCATAATTTATATTTTGAAATATCAAAGGTCTACGATATCGGGTTGTATAGCTAGATATAGAGACTAGAAGATCAGAGTTTGTGGTAAAAACTCATTTCCTTTCCAGGAAAAAGAAACCCTAAAATGGTGAAGGGACGAAAATGGATTCTAAAACAGCATTTCTCCGGGGAACCCAAGATTGATGATTTCGAACTGGTAGAAGAGGAATTGCCTGAACTCAAGAATGGAGAAATCATGTTCAGGTTTGTATTTGAAAACAGATCAAAGTAAACTTTCCGGTATTTTCTTGGATTAGAGAATAAACGAATCCTTTCAATGTTAATATGAAACTATATTTTGTATTTAGGTCTCTGTATATTAGTGTGGATCCTTACCAAAAACCCTTCTCTGCCAGGAAAAAACTTGAATTATTTTGTTTAAGATATTTAGATAAAAAGAAATCATAACATCAATGTATACAATCTCAGTTAAGTTAATCATTTCTATGGAAGTTTATCATTAAATCCAAGTTTATCATTAAATCCAAGTTTATTATTTTTATTCAAGTTTATCATTTTAGCATTTTAGCATTTTAATCCTTATAGTTTATCCCTTTTATTCCAAACTATGTAAATCTAATCCAGGTTTATCATTTTATTCCAAGCAAAGTAGATACAATCCAGAATTATCATTTTAATACAAACAAAGTAAATCTCATCCAGGTTTATCATTTTAATCCAAACAAATTAGATCTAATCCAGGATTATCATTTTATTCCAAACAAAGTAGATCTAATCCAGGATTATCATTTTAATCCAAACAAAGTAGATCTAACCCAGATTTATCATTGTATTTCAAACAAAGTAGATCTAATCCAGGTTTATCATTTTAATCCAAACAAAGTAGATCTAATCCTGGTTTATCATTTTAATCCAAACAAAGTAGATATAATCCAGGTTTATCATTTTATTCCAAACAAAGTAGATCTAATCCTGGTTTATCATTTTATTCCAAACAAAGTAGATCTAATCCAGGTTTATCATTTTATTCCAAACAAAGTAGATCTAATCCAGGATTATCATTTTAATCCAAACGTAGACCTAATCCAAGTTTTCAGTAATCCTGTTCCCTCTACAATGATCGGAAGTAGCGTGGCAGTAGTTGAAAAATCCAAGCATAAAGGATTTCCTGAGGAATTTTTTAATCCAATCTTTTATATCTACATTTTTATACGGTGGTAGGCGATACTTTCATATAATGAAGACGACTTTTTAACTTACATTTTTATTGTTAACAAGCTTTTTTAGAATTAAAAGTAATAAAAAGAAGCTTTTTAAGTTGGGAGATTCTCTTTGTTTCCATGTTTTTGTTTAGCCATACTGTTAAAAAGCTTGATATAAATTAAAATTTAAATCGAAAGTCGTCTTCATTATATTGATATAATCTCTTACCACCGTATGAATATCTGCTAACCAGAAAGGATCAGATCCTATATAGTCTGCATAAAATATAGGTTGTAGATACATCACCAGAGATAAGAGAGTTACAGAGATCGATTATCAGCTAAAATAAGCGATATTTTCCACAGCATGTTCTATTGTGACCAAGTACTGTACAGTGTACACATTATACTGTGACGTATTAGGACAGACAAGAACAATAACAAAGATTGTAAAGAAAGATCAGAGTTTTCCTGGGTTGAGAAAAGGGCCTCGCGTGTGCATGTGAATTGTGTTATCATTGTTAACTAAACAAGGTTTCCTACAAAGGATGAGATTTTTTTGCCTTCAATATATATATATAGCTCATTAATGATTTATAAAATAATTTGACAAAGGAATAAATAAGTTTACAGCTTCAGGAAATGATAAATCTAAGAAAAAAGACTGAACAAACTCTGTCTCTGGTATTCTGAAGTCTCATATTTTTTTAGTACCCTCTTGTTTATTTACATTTCTGAACAGTCACAATTAAACATAAACAAACCTAATCCCCCCTCACCTGAAGTCAACACACTTTGGATTATTAAATGTACTGCAGGGAGCTGGTATTGTACTGTACGCAGGATGGGTGGAGAGGGGAATAGTAAACCCGGATGAAAAGGAAATATTAGATTTTCAATAAAGTTCAGATCAGTTGTACGTATAGGAACTCCCGTCGTTATTTCGTTATAAGAACTGATTTACTCGCTTGAAACTCTAATTTTCTAATTACTATTTCTGTGCAACCGTTATCCCATTAGATGGAGTTGATTCATTTGATGGTTGTCTCATGTTGCCTTCTACATAGCCTGTATGTAATGTATACTGTACATTGTGCAACCTAACTACTAGTTTACAGTTTACTTCACGGAGTTTACAGTGTTTTTTTGATATTCATAACGTTGATCATCTGATCTATCAGAATTCAGAATATCGAAGATAATACGACATTAGGTTACAAATACCCGGATTAGAAAATTAGAGTTTGAAGAGAGCAGTACTGTAGTTCAGTCAAACAATAGAATAATTAAAAAACTTCAACCTGCAGTAAACTAATATTTACATAAATACAGCTCTCTTTCCTGGGAGGAACCTGGAAGTACCCAAAGATAAAAGGATTATCTCCGAGCATGATGCTGGGGGCCTGTGGTATGCCGGGACTAACAGCTTACTTCGGATTATTGAGAGTCTGTGAACCGAAGTAAGTCCAAAACGATTTTTGGAATAGATTTTTTAATTAGTTACGGCTGTCCTATGTGTATCCTTCATTCTGTGTCTTGTATCCTATATTCTGTGTCCTTTATCCTATATTCTGTGTCTTTTATCCTGTATCCTTTATTCTGTGTCCTGTATCCTGTATTCTATATCTTGTATACTGTATCATGTATCCTTTATCTATATTCTGAAGCCTGAATCCTATATATCCTGTATCCTGTATCCAAGGTCTGGTGAGACTGTAGTGGTATCAGGTGCTGCTGGAGCTGTTGGTTCTATGGTTGGACAGATTGCTAAAATCAAGGGCGCTAAAACTATTGGTTTCACGGGGAGTGATGAGAAGGTAAAATGATTTTCAGTTAACACAAAAAACATGTAAAACCTGTTAGCTGAATGAATTTGAGAAATGTTTGTCCAATAACGAGTATATTTCTCAATAGTTTCCTAAGTCACGTTCTATGAATATAAAGTTAACTAACGGCAGGGATACTGGATAGTCGCACAGAACAAAACAAAAACATCATATTTCTGTATTCAGGAAAATATAATGGATTTATGACTAAATTACTTTTACTAGTCTTAAGATTTCCAAAATTAAATGTTTCAAATCTCCGTCAATTTTGAAGATACATAAAAGACAGAACACATTTTTGAAAGCTCATAAGACGTCTTTATTTTGATACAATTAACGGAAATCGAAGACAATTTAAAAAGTCGTCTCTTAATTCCCATGTTTATACTCTTAGTTACTACATTTAAGTACTTATACTAACTGTGTAAGTTAACAATAATAATTGAAAATAATCAACGTTCATCTAATCATTTTAATATTTCAAAAGAAAAGTCAGGGGTTGTTAAATAATAACTAACAATATCTTTGCCTTTCTTATCCGCTTTATTTTGCGGTCCACTGTATACAAATGTACTTGTAACAGGTTAAAACGCTGAAAGATATTGGATTTGATTATGCTTTCAACTACAAGAAGATATCTGTTGAGGATGCTCTGAAAGAATCTGCTCCTCAGGGAGTAGATTGCTATTTTGATAATGTTGGAGGAGATATGTCAACCTCTGTTCTACAGAATATGGCTCAGGGGTATGTTACATCAAACATTTTAGAGAATTAATCGAAAGCACCCCGGCCCCACCCTGACTTTAAGGAATATCAGGAATTAAAGGGAAAACTGACAACTTTGAAGTAGAAGTAGATTCTATCAAAGTTTTAAAAGATGCAATCAAAAACGAGGTGAGCTTTATGCCATCTATTTGCCTCAACGTTTGATTGGGGACCTTGGTAGAACCACGGGAATGTTTTAGATTTGTTTCAAAGTTGAGTTATAGGTTGAATTAATGGGCAAATATTAATTTCCAGACATAGCTGGGTGCCCAAGCAGGTATTTTGAATACACAATTTGAGGGACAAAAAAGTCTGAAATATCTTTAATAAAACTTATTTTTTATCTATGCAGCAGCAACAAATATTACATAATTGAATTGTAGGGGTCGTGTATCTGTGTGCGGGGCTATCAGCACCTATAACGGGGGTAAACCATCCAAATGTGTTGATCTACTTCCGCTTTTCCTATTTACGGTAATTAACAATACATTAAAGTCAAACTTCACTACTCTAATTTTCTAATTCCTATATATATTTAAAACCTGAAATTGTAGACCATAGATATTTCAAGCTATAAATACTGGACGTTAGATCTAATATGCAAGTTTGAAATATTAAAGGTTTACACAATTAGGTTGCAAAGTTAAAGGGATTAGAAAACTTAAGTTTGTGGCAAAGGCTTAATTTCTTGATTTTGCATTAACAACCTCTGAAAGGAAACCATTCATTTTAAATTCTAATGTTTTCTTCAAGAGACAGTATTTTTAGTGAAAAAAATCTAAAACTATACCTAAATGAAAAAATCTTTCACAAAATGTTTAAAATGATTCAGAAAAATCCTGAATTTAGACCTGAGTAATCAAAGCTATGACTTTATGAATTGAATTATTGTATTTTTCTTGAAGGAGTTGAAGATTGAAGGATTTGTAGTTGGAAGATGGGAGAAGGAACATGAAGCAGGTATATTAACTAATTAACTAATTCATGAACACCAACTTCAGCAATAGTTTACATTTAGAGAAGAAAAAAGACAAAATGGGAAAATTGAAGAGTAATGAAATTAAGAGATTTAAGAGATATTAAGAGAAGTTAGAGATATTAAGAGATATTATGAGTTATTAAAAGATATTAAGATATATTAAGATTGATGCTAACTGTTTAAAGGATTGAGGGAGTTGGCACGCTGGATCAATGAAGGAAAACTAAAGGCAGAGGAAACTGTTGTTGAAGGATTTGAAAATACTCCCCAGGTTCAAATCTAGTTTGATAATCATCAGATGTTAAAATTTTTGGAAGTATAGGCATAATTTCAAGTGCCATGCAAAGAGGGCAATTCCCAATTCACATCGGTACCCTTAAAAGCTCTGTCTGATCAAGTATGAAATAGATATTCATGTTTGAATATTGAAAGATTGTTATTTTAGAGGTTTTCTACAAAAGTAACTTTAGGTGTAGAAAACATGGGAATTATCAGAATTAAACACTAGACCTAGAAAGCTAGAAAAACGACAGTATCTTCTATATCATTTATTAGATATTTATTAGATATTAGATAAAGATTTCAAATCAAAGGTATCGTTGTGATTCGGGCATTGCCACCTTTGCATGGAGGGTCTTTTGAAATTACACTAACATTCCCTTTAACAACATTCATTAACCTTTAAACTACAGTTTATAAAGTTCTCTTTTGTTTAGGCTTTCCTTGGCTTATTTGATGGTTCGAATACTGGGAAGATGGTTGTTAAAGTTTAATCCTGGAACCTGGTCTGCCTCTGAGCATCAACTCATCAAGCTTTTTTTTAAAGCTTTTACATCCTCAACTATGCTTGAAAAGTTGTTAGCGTTTAAGTTTTGATATAATTAACGCACAAGCGTACATGCAGTTATAGTGCAATTTCTTAAAAAACAAATACTTTAAACAATTGAATTAATTCTGGTTTTTATGGATAATGTTTTATTGATTCTTAATGGATATTCTTTTGATTACATGATATTATTATGAACAGTAATAAAGCTTTTGACAATATATATGATGTTTCCTAATATAATAAGTAATATATGTAGATTATGTTTTCTAAATATTATTTCTTATTATCAAAAATGATTAATTTTGCAGTACGTTAAACATGAAGAAGCAGAAAACTAAATTTTCTCAAGTAAATAAAACTTAAACTCAACATGGAATTTTAAAACCAAACTCAGAAAATTCCCGTGGTTATACCGAGTTTCCCAATCACAATTTGAGGCAATTACTACGTTATATACTACTTTACATGGGCCATGACCCCTAAATATAATGAAGGGTTGTTTTTAGTTAAGTTTAGATGAACAAAAATTAAACACACAGTGGCATCGGATTATATATCAATACAATGAAGACGACTTTTTATTTAAAGGGAGTGTTCGCGAAAAATGAAAGGGGGTATAGGGTTAATGCGATAAAAAAGCGCTTTTGATCGCTACTAATCTTACTTCTATCTTTTGCTTCTATAAAGAGAAAATTGTTAAAGACGTCTCATACCGAATAACTTAGCGTCTATACAAATTGAGAAAATTGCAACATACGACTTAGACCGTAAAAAAATCAATTTAATTCCAAACAAATCATTCAGATATTACAACCATATAGTCATCGATTATCTTTCGCCACATTTGTATATATTTTATATTTCATACTAGTTTTGATTTTGTTTTTTAAAATAATATTTAGCTTACAAATTTTTTTCGAACATTCCTGGAAAATATTTGTCGTCTTCATTACAAAAAATCCTCGAAACAGGAATAAATGTTTTTATAGGTAACTCTCAGATCATAATAATTAAAACATATTATGAAAAATCAACTATATACAAATGTGGCGAAAGATAATCGATGACATAGGTTGTAATATCTGAATGATTTGTTTGAAATTAAATTGATTTTTACGGTCTAAGTCGTATGTTGCAATTTTCTCAATTTGTATGGACGCTAAGTTATTCGGTATGTCGACGTCTTTAACAATTTTCACCTTATAGACGCTACGGATAGAAGTAAGATTAGCAGCGATCAAAAGCGCATTAAGCTTATACTCCCTTTCATTTTTCGCGAACACTCCCTTTAAGTTTTGATTGTTAACGATTGCATTTTTCAAATTACAAGTTTACAAGTAATCAAAGAGAAGCTTTTTTTAATCGAAACCTTTCCTTGATTTTTATGTTTATGTGTATTCATTCTGTTTAACAGTTCGATACAAATTAATTTGTATTGCGTGCAGACACTTCAATGTTTGCTGCGTTGCGTCCTCATAATGCTTCCTAGAAGTGCGTCCTCATTGTTGCAATTCCTCTGTCCTCATTATTTCTTCATTTATGCAACACATTCTTCTCTTGGGTTGTAAGGTAAGAAGTCTCCGTAAGACGTAAATTCATGCGAGTAAAGAACAACATTGAATGTAAATTGTACAAATTAAGCTCAATTAGCGTAAGAACTTTTAAAACTCTAGAGTGCAAAAGGTACGGTTCGGCACAAAACAGAGAATATTAGGGTTTTAAACTTTGAAATTAATTGTTTTTTATTTTCATTTCGATTTGACGACGATCTTTCCAATCAACTAATCACTAATTTCAAGTTTAAGAACGAATACCGCGTACATTTCTCAAATGTAAATGGTTTCATAATAAAAGAAGGATCGTGCCATTCGATTAGGATAATCGGAACAGCAAAATCTGCAGTTCACCTTGATTCAGTCTTAAAAATGACAGGCCTTTGGAAAAACGGGATATTTACCGTTATTTCTAACCATTTGACCATCTTGTGTGTTTGATGTGCCATGTTAAGAAATACTTGTATCAGAGAAAAAATGTGAAAAACTTACCTAAATTGATGAAATAATTGAGCTTCTACCGAGAATGCTTGATTTGGTGATGAATATGGATCGGTTAAGCTGGAAAACTATCCCTGAACCTCTACTGATCAGGGTTCTTGGATTCCTCACTGTGCCAGATATTGCCAATGCATCAGCCGTCTGCCATAGGTTTGTAATTGCTTGTGATTTTAGCCCAAGTGAGGGTGGGGAGGGGGGGGGGGATAATTTAGATGTATAACACGATAATTTCTACGTGGGTGGGGTATTGTGTAAAATAATTTGGGTTGGTCCTAGAAAACGATTTTTGGACCCCGCCCCCCCGGGCCTGTTTTGAAATTAGGCATTTGATCTATTCCCATTTTACTATATTTAATATGTACAATTGCTGCGCGCACGCACGTATGTATGCCTGGATCCTAAGTATAGCTTCTTTCTTAATAGATTACATTCTTGTAAGTAACTATATGAAATAATTATAAAAATTGTTCTTATCAATGTTATATTGTTGCTATAATACTTCAATCTATTTCAGTTAAACATCCAAACTCTCTTCAAACAAGTAACACCATCTGAATAAAGAATTAAAGAAAACACAGTTTATATAGTGAGAGTAGTTTGAAACCGGTCATTCTAAAGAAATCAATACAGGGCCCTCCTCCTATCAATTGTGTACATCACCACTTTTCAACAATTTTCAATTAAATTAGTATTTATTTAGGGTTAGGTTAGGTTTAGACACTTTCTGGGCCTAGCGCTTCGGCTAGGACAGGCTAGGGAGTGCGAGCGCTGCGGCCACATGGTAAATTATATCCATGTCCTACATATAAGATTAGTATATATTTGGGGTTAGGTTAGGTTAAGACACTTTCTGTGCCAAGCGCTGCTTCTAGGACGGGCTAGGGGGCCGAGCGCTACGGCCAGGACAGACTAGGGGGCCGGGTGCTGCGGCCACATGGTTAATGTGGGGGGTTCTAAAATTTGTATAATAGGATGTTACCCTAATTTTTTAATTTCGAAAAAATATTTTGCTCATTATTGATCAGTTTTAAAGGGTTATGTATTTTTCAATATCGTTTTTCGGTATCTTGTTTAAAGTTTTCATTTTATCTTTTAAAAATTACTTTTTAACGCTCTTGCCCTATCCACCTCTCTTATCATTATCATATTAATTAATTAATAGTAAATTGAATTTTTTTATTTTGGTTAATTACTGTCAATGTTTAAATCCAGGTGGTGTGAAATAGCTTTGGATAACGCACTGTGGCGGGGTATCCTGAGAAGACGGTTTCGTCTCCGGAACCCTGGTCTGTGTTTACGAGTACCTGGATCAACCTGGAGGGAAGAATATAAAAGAATGCGGGATAATTCTCCATCTGTCTGCTCCCAGGTTTTAAATGTGACATTTAATTAACCATAAAAACAAATTAACATCAATTTTCGATTTTTTATGACCACTTATGATAAACTTCACCCCCCCCCCCCCATCAAAGGAAAATATTTCAGTTCTTATGATTCGGATTAAGTTGATCTGCAACATTTTAGCTCCCCAGATCCGCAACATTTTAGCTCCCAGTCCCCAGATCGGCAATATTTTAGCTCCCCAGATCCGCAACAAACTAGCTCCCCAGATCCGCAAAAGTTTAGCTCCCCAGATCCGCAACATTTTAGCTCCCCAGATCTGCAACATTTTAGCTCCCCGGATCCGCAACATTTTAGTTTCCAGATCCGTAACATTTTGGCTCCCCAGATCCGCAAAATATGTTTGATCTATGTGGCACAATGTGACAATACTTCCGAAACATTGAATAAAAGAACATTTAACATACATTTAATTGTTTTTTTTTGAAAAATGTAACTTTTGTTGTTTTTAGGAGCTTTCAAACCACACAGACGAGGTTTTACATGTTTCCTTTTCCAACTCTGGAGAACAGTTCGTAACCTGCTCAAAGGTTGGAGAAATTGCATTGTTTAATCTGTCCTACCCTACTTGACAACCTTGGATTATACATTTTCTCCGGGGAATTCTGAAAAATATAGACCCCTTGTTTGTGGATGAATCCAGTAGAGTTATCATTAGATTTAGTCTCGCTTTTTTAGGACTGATCCAATACAATTATTATTTGAATTATTTCCCCCTATTTTGAGACGGACCAATTCCAATATAATTATTATTTAAATCAGTTTCTCTTGTTTAGGTTGGGTCTAGGTGAAATATTATTAGATTTGGTTTCCCTTGTTTTAGGACGAATCCAGTAGAATTATTATTAGATTTGGTTTCCCTTGTTTTAGGACGGATCCAGTAGAAATATTATTAGATTTGGTTTCCCTTGTTTTAGGACGGATCCAGTATAAATATTATTAGATTTGGTTTCCCTTGTTTTAGGACGGATCCAGTATAAATATTATTAGATTTGGTCTCGGTGTTTTAGGACGGATCCAGTAGAAATATTATTAGATTTGGTCTCGGTGTTTTAGGACGGATCCAGTAGAATTATTATTAGATTTAGTCTCCCTTGTTTTAGGACGAATCCAGTAGAAATATTATTAGATTTGGTCTCTGTGTTTTAGGACGGATCCAGTAGAAATATTATTAGATTTGGTCTCGGTGTTTTAGGACGGATCCAGTAGAAATATTATTAGATTTGGTCTCTGTGTTTTAGGGCGGATCCAGTAGAATTATTATAAGATTTAGTCTCCCTTGTTTTAGGACGGATCCAGTAAAAATACTATTAGATCTGGTCTCTGTGTTTTAGGACGGATCCAGTAGAATTATTATTAGATTTAGTCTCCCTTGTTTTAAGACGGATCCAGTAGAATTATTATTAGATTTAGTCTCCCTTGTTTTAGGACGGATCCAGTAGAATTATTATTAGATTTAGTCTCCCTTGTTTTAGGACGGATCCAGTAGAATTATTATTAGATTTAGTCTCCGTGTTTGATGACGGGCTCAGTAACATTTTGCTTAGTACAAGTTCGCCTAGTACACTTTCGCCTAGTTAAATCCAGTTAAATTATTGTTTTAATTTGTCTCCCTTGATTTAGGACGGATCCAGTATAATTATTGTATTAATTAGTCTCCCTTGATTTTGATCCAAAAGAATTATTATTTGAATTATTCTCCTCTGTGAAACGAATCCAGTAGAATTATTACTCAAATCAGTTTCTCTTGATTAGGACGGATCCGTAATAATCTGGAGATTTAGTTCGGACTTTCATGCCGAGCTAGAACATCAGGTAGATATAAGATATTCAAGGGTCCATCATTCTATAAAATTACCCCCCCCCCCCCCCC